TTACAAAAACAATTTTTCTTAAAGGGTTGTCTCAATTTCTATACCTTTTTTTGAATTTCTTTAAATGTAAAATTTAAATGTAAATATCAAAAATTATGTGTTTTTAGTCAAATTATTCGAAATTCAGTAATTTTCCCTCTGACATTTTTTTTTATTTTAAAGGAGAACAAAAATCACAGAATGGTCAACATTTTTCATTTGTTTATTTTTTGCCAAAAGGCTTGAAACCGAAATTGAAATAAACAATTAAAAAATTGTCACTATTCAAGAATTTTTCTCTATTAGCTAACATTTTGGTTTTTTTTTTTTGGATAAAAAGTAAAAAAGATGACAAAAACGCTTTTATACTAAACGATTTTTTTTAAAGGGTTTTCTCAATTTCAATACCTTTTTTTGAATTTATTTATATGTAAATATTAAAAATTATGTGTTTTTAGTCAAATTATTCGAAATTCAGTAATTTAACAGTCTGAGTATTTTTTTATTTTGAAGGAGAACAAAAATCACAGAATGGCCAACATTTTTCATTTGTATATTTTTTGCCAAAAGACTGGAATTTTTTTGTTTTTGAAAGAAAATCAAGAAAAACATTTGAAAAACTGTCACTGTTCAAAAAATTTTCTCTATTTGCTAAAATTTTGTTTTTTTTATATAAAGTAAAAAAGGTTTAAAAAATGACAAAACGATTTTTTTTTAAAGTTTGTCCCAATTTCGATACCTTTTTTTGAATTTAATTTAATGTAAACACCAAAAATTATGTGTTTTTAATCAAATTACATCTACCAAAAAAAAATTTTACCATAAAATGCGATAAAATAAAAACAGATAATGTGGTATGTATTTTTTTATCAAACTTTAACGCAAGGTAACATACAAAAATGCTAGAATCTAAGTCAGAGACAGATTTTTTTAAATTAAAGTGAATGCGAATTTGGATTGATGAAATTAATGTTTTTTTTTTTCTGTTCTTTGTTTTGTTTGTGTTAAATTTACTTTTTTTGTTATTGGATTTTTATTTTATATTTTCTGTTTTCCTGATCACTGTTGTTTTTTGACTATTTTATCGACTTGCTATTTTTTTTCTCAAATTTTTGTTCACCTGCGTTCTATAACTTTAGGTGGGTATTTTTTTGGTTTTTTCTTTGTTATGGTTTATTTTTATTCGTTTTTATTATTTTTGTTTCTTATGTCTTGTCTTTCTTCCAACTATATTTTATATATATTTCCTCTGTACTTTTTCAACCTTATTGTTTTTTAAACCTCTTTTTATGTCGAATTTCATTAACTTGTAGATTGAATTTATTATTCCATTTTCAAAAACTCGAAAAAGTTTACAAAAACAATGATTTTATTTTTACTTTTTAATATAATTTGTTAAATTTTGTGTACATTACTAAACAATAATTATTTTCAAAACTACTAGCTTTACTAGTATGTACTAGTATTTTTTTTATTAAAACATGAAATTTTCTATCAAACTATAGAGCAAGGTTCTGTATTTTTACATTATTAAAGTACAAAAAAATAAGACGAAAAATTTTGATCAGAATTTTTTTCTACATAACTCTATTTTGTACTTATTTAAATTCTATACTTTTTGCTTTTGTTTCTTTTTATTCTTTGCTTTGCAGATTACTCACACTATTTTCTGAGCTTTTTTTTAGTTTTTTCAGTTTTTATCTTTTTTGTTACTTGTGTCTATTTTTAGTATTTTGTTCCTTTTTGCTCCAATATTTCTGTCTTCCTAGGATCTCTATATTTGCTATATTTGTTTTTTTTATGCTTTATTTTTATTTGTTTCTTATTTCCTGTTTCTCTTTGTATTTCCCTCATTCTACTCATAATCTTTCTGTTTATACTTTTTTAGTGTTTTATTGTCTCTTTTCTTTTATATTTTATCTCATTTGTAATTTTAATAACCAAATATCAAAATTAATATTGAACTAGTTTTTTCTTTCTCCTGAAAAATTATGATGGAATTTCAAAAATCAACACACCGTGAAAATTTTTTCATCAAAGAGAAACGAAATAAAATTGAATCAATTTATTTGAATTCAAAAATTATGATAAACACTATAGCAGCACAAAAAAAATTGTGTAATTGAATTACTCTGTAGTGAAATTTGATTTTTCCTTTGCCTACGCCTCGAATCATGCATTTACTTCCTCATTAAATAACAACCGCTTTTACGGTTGTTTTTGTAAAAGAAAATATTTTCGGTGTAATAATTAATAATAAAAACATCGCAGTAGAGTTTCTTTGTAAACAACTCCTCGAATTTTTTCCCTCTTCAGTTGCTTTAACACAGAAATATGAGAAATTGTTAAAACCCGGATGCTTGTTAGCCGCTTGGATAAGGCCCCATCTGCGCCAAAGTTCACAACGACTTTCCCAGAAACCTATTACACCGACATTAGGACTTAATGCTGTTTTAAAAGACCTCTCCGAATATCATTTTTTCCATTATTGTAATCAATTAAAGGAGTTCGAAATCGGGTCGAGAGCTTTCAGGCGGAAGCTCTCCAGACCTATTTTTTTCCCAATGTCATTGATTTTACGCTTTTTCGCTGTTTGTACAGTTTATTGAATTTGAGCGGGGYTTTTGTTGCAAAATGCTTCAAAATACACTAGTGTTAAAGTAAAAAAATGACTTTTTTTGAAAATTTGCAATTAATTTGAAATAAGAAAATTGGGG